ATAAACATTTTTCTGTCACCAAATATTTCTCAATAGCATTATGTTTAATATTTATATTAAAACTCTTTCATTTATGTAATTTATTTAATCATTTCGGGGTTGCTTGCTTGCTCTCTTGCTTTACTGACATAACTGCATTGTAAAGACTTAAAAATATTTAATGTTTGTGATATCCAGGAGAGTTCACACTTTATGCATATTCTCATCTACATGTATATATGTCCGATTGATTCAGCCTTAAGCCCACTACTTATTTTGTGGCCGTGAGCAAATTAGTCTTTTTTGCATTTTTCATCTAGAAAACGGAGGTAATAATACCTACCTTCTATAGTTCTTGTGGGGTTTAACTACAATGTTTATAAAATCCTTAGCAAATTGCCTGGTACACAGTAAATGTTCAAGTGAAAACTAATGATATGGTTAATAACACTGTGTGTGACTGCTTCTTATGAATATGTCCTGTGTTGGCATACAACACTGTTCACACAAAAACTTGTTCAGGAACATTCATAGCAGCATTATTCGTAATAACCCCAAAATGGAAACATCCTAAATGTCCATTAACCAAGGACTGGATAAGCAAATTATGGTATATCCATATAGTAGAATATTATTCAACAACAAAAAGGAATGAACTAATGGTACATGCTATCACGTGGATGAACCTATTAAGTGAAAGAAGCCAGACATGGGGTACCTGGGTGACCGGTTAAGTGTCTGACTCTTGATTTCAGGGTCGTGAGTTCAAGCCCTGTGCTGGGCTCCATGCTGGGTGTGGGGCCTACTTAAAAAAAAAAAGAAAAGAAAAGAAAAAGAAAAAAGCCAGACACAAAAGGCACATATTGTATAATTCCATTTATGTGAAATGTCCAGAACAGACAAATACAGAGATGTGGTTTCATTTCTTTTATGGTAATTACTACACTTATGTAAATATTGAGGTTTTTTTGTTTTTGTTTTTTTAAGTAAGCTCTACACCTAATGATGTGGGGCTTGAACTCATGACCCCAAGATTAGGAGTCATATGTTCTCCCCACTGAGCCAGCCAGGCGCCCCCAAGGGTTTTTTGTTTGTTTTTACTAAGAGTAGAAAATTCATCTTTGTTTCTTATCTGTTAGAAATACTAACCTCCTAGCACTAATTGTTGGTTCCTTTTGTCTAGGCCTAGGACTTTTTATCTTAAAGACCCTTTTTGAGGAAATAACTTTTAGGCTGATCTCTATAAAGTATAACCCCGGATGTCTTCTCAATGTGTAATCCCAGGAATTTGGGGGCAACTTTTTAGGGATCTGCTCAGTGTGGCTAAACGTAGTACAGCAAACAGTTTTCATGTAATACGATGACTAATATAAAAACTTCATTTATTCGATACTAAAAGAATCCTTTGTAAAGTACATAGCATTGGTTTTTAAGAATTTCTCTTAGATTCTTTCACCCAAATCTAATCAAATCCAAACAATAAATACTTAACTATATATTTGCCTTAAGCTATTTGATTCTTCAACTAAAAGACTCATCACTTTGCTTTCTCTTTCTTTTAGTTACTGTTATCTGTGGACTAAATTTCATGCTGAAATAGTAAAACCTTAATAGTTTAGATGACAGGTATATTGGAAGAAGGCCAATCCAAATTATAGAAATAGTTATCATAACTACATTTTTGACACTTGTTACATTTTTCTCTTGTGTCTCTCATCACTACCAAAGTGCTATATATTATATTAGAAGCAGTAGTTTGAAATTAATTTTTTTTAAGATTTTTATTTATTTGAGAGAGAGAGAATGAGAGATAGCATGAGAGGGAAGGAGGGTCAGAGGGAGAAGCAGACTCCCTGCTGAGCAAGGAGCCCGATGTGGGACTCGATCCCGGGACTCCAGGATCATGACCTGAGCTGAAGGCTTTCGCTTAACCAACTGAGCCACCCAGGCGCCCTGAAATTAATTTTTTTAAAAGATTTTATTTATTTATTTGACAGAGACACAGCGAGAGAGGGAACACAAGCAGGGGGAGTGGGAGAGGGAGAAGCAGGCTTCCCTCCAAGCAGGGAGCCCAGTGTGGGGCTCGATCCCAGGACCCTGGGATCATGACCTGAGCTGAAGGCAGATGCTTAACAACTGAGCCACCCAGGCGCCCCTGAAATTTATTTTTAATAATTTCTAGAGACTTCCAAATATTTTTAAATATTAGAGATGCAGTAGTGGGAAATTTTGGAGGTTAATGAGTCTAGACATATTGGATTGTTTTATTTTTTTATTGTGTAATATTACATACAAAAAACATAGAGCAAGCTAATGAATATCATTATCTCATCACTTAGCTTTTCATGTCTTAACATTTTGCTGTATTTGCCCAGGGCTTTTTTCAATTTCAGTTTTCATTATGAAAATTTGTTAACACAGAAGAGTTGAGAGAATAGAACAATACTTAACCTATATATCCAGTACCTAAATTCAACAATTAATGTTTTGTCATATTTGCTTTAATATATACTTTTGCTGAATTATTTGAAAGTAGATTTTTTAAAAAGATTTATTTATTAGAGAGAGCGCGCGTGTGCACACTCAAACGGGGAGGAGGGAGAGGAAGTCCCAAGCAGACTCTGCACCAGACTCGGAGCCCGACTCAGGGCTCAATCTCATGACCCCAAGATCACAACCCAAACTGAAACCAAGAGTTGGATGCTTAATTGATGGCGCCATGCAGGCACCCCAAAAGTAGATTTCTGAACATCATGACAGTCCTAATATATGAATATTCATATATAACCATAATTCCATTATCATACTATGAAAATTAATGGTAATTCTTTAATATCGTATAATTTTCTGGTTTCCCTGGTTGTCCTTGAAAGAATTCGGTAGCTTTTTAATAAAAGTTATTTAACCCAGAATTCAGTCAAGGATCATGCATCATGTTTGGCTGTAATGTTTCTTTAATCTCTTTTAATTCAGAACAGTCCTTCCATTCTTAATTTCAGGAAACAAACTGAGGGTTGCTGGAGTGGTGGGGGGTGGGAGGGATGGGGTGGCTGGGTGATGGGCATTGGGGAGGGTATGTGCTATGGTGACCGCTGTGAATTGTGTAAGACTGATGAATCAGACTTGTACCTCTGAAACAAATAATACATTATGTTAAAAAAAAAAAAAAGAAAATAGTAGGAAGGGAAAAATGAAGGGGGGGAAATCAGAGGGGGAGATGAACCATGAGAGACTATGGACTCGGAGAAACAAACTGAGGGTTCTAGAGGGGAGGGGGTGTGGAGGGATGGGTGAGCCTGGTGATGGGTATTAAAGAGGGCAAGTACTAAATGGAGCACTGGGTGTTATACACAAACAATGAATCGTGGAACACTACATCAAAAACTAATGATGTAATGTATGGTGACTAACATAACAATAAAATTAAAAAGAAAAAAATAAAAAAAGAATTAAAAAAAAAAAGGACAGTCCTTCCCCCCAACATGGAATTTTTTCCCCCATACCATTGATTTATTTGGGAGAGTAAAGTTATTGAGTAGAATTAATAAACAAATCTACATTCTGGATTTGTCTGTTTTCTTTTGGTAGTATTTAACTTGTTACCCTGTCCTCTATATTTCTTGTAAATTGGAAGATTTAAAGCTGGATTAGAGCTAGGATAAACATTTTTGTTAAGAAAATGTTTCATAAATGATGGCTGTAATGTTATATTGCATTGAATCAGGAGACATACAATGTTGGTCTATCCTGTAATGAGTGATTTTAAGTTAGATTACTTGGAGAGGTGGTAACTGCCAGATCTCTACAGTGAAAAGATAATCTTTTCTTCTGTAAATCATTAATCTGCTGGATGATACTTTGGCACCCTGTGAATAACCTGTTCTAGGAGGACAGTGTTGGAGATTTTTCATCTACAACTTATCTTTTCATTCTTCAGTTTAAAGAATTTGATGGGGGGAGGGTAAGGTTTTTTTCTACATAAAATAAATTATATTGGGGAAATGTCCAATAGTATCAGAACTCAATAAATGCAAATAAAATAACAGGGTACCCATTTCCATCAAATTCGTAGAAATTAAAGTTGAGGGTACAGAATATTCTCAAGAATATAGGAAGCAAAGGAGTTTAAGTAGCTGCTAGTGGGTATATAAACTGTTAAAATATTTTTTTAAAGATATTTTTTATCTATTTATTTGACAGAGAGCACAGGTAGGCAGAGGGGGCAGGCAGAGGGAAAGGGAGAAGCAGGCTCTCTGCTGAGCAGGGAGCCTGATGCGGGGCTCGATCCCAGGACCCTGGGATCATGACCTGAGCCGAAGTCAGACGCTCAACCGACTGAGCCACCCAGGCGCCCCTGTTAAAATATTTTTAGAGGGTACTTAAGTAGCATTTATAAAAATAATTCAGTACTTTTACTCAACATTTGTACTGCCAGGAATTTATCCTTTGTGTACTGTATGTAAGAGTACAGTGAAGCGTATATAAGGATGCCAGTGCAGTGTTATTTTTAATAGCAAAACAAAAACCCAAACCTAGGAATAACATGAATATCATCTTGCATTGATAGAGAATGATGTAATGATAAAGGCCTCCTCAAAACTCAAATTACTGTTATTCTCAGAATGTTTCCTGTAGCATTCTTTTTTAGTTTTTTTGATGCTGTAGCTTTTCTTATCTCAGTGTCTTTTTTGGTTTTGTTTTCTTTTACTCTTTGCATTGTATATAAACATAAAGAAAAATAAAAACTAAATCAGATGCCTTTGTCATACCTAGTTTTCTAATTCTTAGAATCAGTAAGGTTTTGACACTGAAGCACTCAAAGTGATATTCTAATTTTCATTGTTCATTTGTCTCATGAGAATCCAGTGTAAATCATATAATGGAAAAGTGACATTTTAAGTAAGAAAGATGTTGGCTGTATCCTAGTTATAGTGAAATTCTTGAAATGGAAATACCTGTCACCTTTAATATCTTTAATTTAGTATCTTTAATATCTCTATATTTTTTATTCTTTTAAACAGTTCGTTTTCCTGAAGATCTTGAGAATGACATTAGAACTTTCTTTCCTGAATATACCCATCAACTCTTTGGGGATGAGTAAGTAACTTTGCCAAATTAGTGTGGCCAAAAAAAAAAAAAAAAAATTCTTTTTTTTTAAGATCTAGAAAGCAGACTTTATTTTCTTTGCTGTTTTTTATGTAATTTATTTTAAAATATATATTAGAATGCATTCTTGACATTGAAACACCAGTTTACTGTATCATACCTATCATGTAGTGCTGTGGATACATTACCTCATTTAATTCTCACAACCATCTTAGCGATGGTATTATCATCCATTACATTGTACATTGGTGGAATTGAATAGCTGCTTAAGGACATGTGAATGACCAAAGTTCAGATTCAGGCAATCTGTCTATGAAGCCCATCTTCATAATTACTACTGTTTCTTCCTGCTCCTTTGCTATACTGCTCTTAGTACAGAATAGACTCTCCTGAAGCTAGAAAGCTCAAGTTGTTCTTCTATGACAACTAATAGGCCATTAAAAGAAATTTATTTTTATTTTTTATTTTTAAAAACTTTATTTATTTGACAGAGAGAACACAAGCAGGGGGGCTGCAGGCAGAGGCAGAGGGAGAAGCAGGCCCCCTGCGGAGCAGGGAGCCAGATGCAGGGCTCGATCCCAGGACCCTGGGATCATGACCTGAGCCGAAGGCAGACACTGAACCAACTGAGCCACCCAGGCACCCCGAGAAATTCATTTTTAAAAGCAACATTATAGATATGTCCTGGGATATTCAGCACAATCCCTTAATTTCCTGTAGCTTCATTACATTATTAGAATAGTCATTTACCATTTTTTTAAACTTTTGATTGTGAAACTTATTTGCAGAAAGTTATAAGAATAGTATGGGCAGTTGATGTAAGCACTGGGTGTATATGCAGCTCATGAATCACTAAGACTCTACCTCTGAAACTAATAGTACACTGTATGTTAATTGATTCAAAGGAGAAAAAGAATAATACTCTGTATATCCTTTATTTAGATTCACCACTTGTTAACATTTAGTTCTATTTACCTTAATCATTCTCTCCTATGTAGATAGATATATTCATATGTTGTTGAACCATTTGAGAGTTGTTTGCAGATATATCTTGATTCCTTACTCCTAAATTCTTTAGTATGTATTTCCTAAAAACAAGGACAGTAACCCTATTATTATCAAAATTGAGGAAATTTAACACTGCTGTAGTACTATTTTCTAAGATACAGTCCACATTTCAAATTTTGCCCCTTGGTTTCCAATAATTCTTTCATAACAATTTTCCTCATTCTGAATCCAATCTAGAGTCATACATTGCATTTATTTAATTTTTATTTTTTTTTAAGATTTTATTTATTTATTTGACAGAGAGAGAGTATAAGCAGGGGGAGCAGCAGGGAGAGGGAGAAGCAGTCTCCCTGCTGAGCAGAGAGCCCGATATGGGGCTCCATCCCAGGACCCTGGGATCGTGACCTCAGTCCAAGGCAGATGCTTAACTGACTGAGCCACCTAGGCACCCCACATATTGCATTTAGTTGTCATATCTCTTTAGTCTCCTTTAATCTGAAACAGTTCCTCAGCCTTTCTTTGTTTTTCGTGACATAGACATTTTTGTAGGGTATAGGTTAGTTTTATAAACCTTCATTTTGCATTAGTTTGTTTCTTCATGATTAAATTCAGATAATGTACTTTTTTTTTTTAAGATTTTTATTTATTTATTTGACAGAGACCGCGAGAGAGGGAACACAAGCATGGGGAGTGGGAGAGGGAGAAGCAGGCTTCCCGCTGAGCAGGGAGCCCAATGTGGGGCTTGATCCCAGGACCCTGGATCATTACCTGAGCTGAAAGCAGATGCTTAACGACTGAGCTGCCCAGACACCCCGATAATATACATTTTTATATTACCACAGAGGTTGTGTGTGTCCATCTCAGTCTGTCATAATCAGAAAGTCCATAACGTCAGTTTGGCCCATTGTTTATTAACTTGGGTCACTTAGTTTAGAGGTGTCTGTCAGCTTTCTCCACTATAAGGTTTTTTCCTTTATTATGTAATCTGTGGGGAGATACTCTTGAGACTGAAAAGATCCTGTTTCCCATCAGACTTTCATCCAGTAGTTTTAAATCCACTGATGATTCTTGCTTGAAGCTTTTACTGTGATCGTAAAATGGTGATTTTTCTAACTCTGTCATACCTTCTACATTTATTAGTTGGCATTCTATAAGGAAGAGCGTCTCTTTTTTCCCTTAGGTGTTTCTTTGTTTATATCAGAATAGACTCAGAATCTTTTTTAATCCAAGGGGTCATAATCTGCTACTGTTACTAATTATGATGCTCAAATTATCCCATTTCAAACCGGTTTTTGAATCCTTTTGATATATCATCATTATTTGGGGGACACTTTACTTTTGAATACAGTAAGATGTTCATTCATCTTACACTTTTTCTACTAGTTCTGGAGTTAGCCATTTTCCCAAGGAACCCTGCTTTGTTGTAGTAGGAAAGAGTGTTTTGACATAGTTGACATTTAAAATACTGCACTTCGTGGCGATTTTACCTACGTGTTATTTCAGCATTGTTCACATATTTATTGAATGTGTTTTGAAGTTGACAAATGTCTCTCCGTGGGACAAATTTCCTCAGAATTTTTCATTATTAATGTATCAGATTGGGCATTTTATGTGCTTTTAAATATTAATAATTATATTTTATTACATATTGATTCATGCCAAATTTGAACCTTTTGTATTTTAAATAGGTTTTATTTTATTATAAAGATAAGAACATTTTCTTTTGGGATTTCTATTGTTAAGGAGCTATTTATTTATTCCTTTCCCCTTCTTGCTATTTAAAATCTCTTCCTTAGGTGCATAGACTCTAGTCTTACAGATAATGCTTCTCAGTGGTATTTTGTACATTCATTCTGTTTTGCATGTCATTAAAAATGCTTGCATACTCCTAAGGTAGACAGATTACAGTCACATAATCATAACCCTGTATTTTATGACTCAGGTATGACATTGGTCTTAATCCTACTTATCATTGCCATTCCTTTTTATGCACATAACTTTCAGAGTCCTGGAATGGACACTGCTTATGTTTTATTTTATGCCTAGACAGAAATCTGGAAATGACACTACTCCTTTCAGGCACTCCTCTTCAGAATTCACTTAAAAAAAAAAAAAGCTTTATTGAGATGTGAGATGTAATTTGCCATATAATTCATCTATTTAAAGTATACAGTTCAGTGATTTTTAGTATATTGTGTTGTGCAGTCATTACAGTCAATTTCAGAACATCTTGTCATTCCCACCAAAATTCCCATAACCAGTTAGCAGTCATTCTCTTTTTCCTCCCTTAATCTCCCCAGCCCTAGCAATCACTAAACTACCTTCTGTCTCTATAGCGTTACCTATTCTGGATATTTTAGATTCACATTTTGGAAGACTCTTTTTAAGCCAGAGAAGAGAATATCAAGGTGTAAGTAGATTGAAGGAAGCAGGGCTGGAAAAATAACAGCAGCTCCAGATCTGCTTTCTGAGTTCAGAGGGTGATGTAATTAGATGCTTTCACCACTTTCAGCAGCTCTGGATGTTGATGATGGAAGCAAGTTGTAAACTGGAGGAAAGACTGGGCCAAAGCTACATCTTAGCTGCTTGCCTAGCGAGGTACCAGTTTAAATACCACTTGTGTCTGATTTGAAATGCCTTCTGGTACTAGTAATAGAAGTAGCCGCAATGATATATTACATTTATTACATACTTGTATAATGTGCTGGTCAACATTATAAGCAGTTTATAGGTATTAACTTGCTCGTGTAACCCAAACAACGTCCCTGAGGTAGATGCTATTATTCTTACTTTATTTTTTATTTTTTAAAGATTTTATTTTTATGTAATCTCTCCACTCAAGGTGGGGCTCGAACTCACAATCCTGAGATCAAGAGTCATATGCTCTACCAGCCGAGCCAGCCAGGCGCGCCTCTCTTATTTTATAAATGAGGAAGGCTGAGGCACAGTTTCATTACAAGTGTTTGTTTCTTTTTAAAATAGGTATGGTTTAAAATCTTGAAACTACCCATAAAGTTAAGCTTGTTTATATGTAGGGCTAATACTTTGTAATGACTTTGCAAAGAATCTTTCTGGGGTCTCAGATTACTGATATTTTTTCCTTTTCAGTGAAACTGCTTTTGGTTACAAGGGTTTGAAGATCCTGTTATACTATATTGCTGGTAGCTTGTCAACAATGTTCCGTGTTGAATATGCATCTAAAGTTGATGAGAATTTTGACTGTGTAGAGGTAAGAACAATAATAAATTTATCTTTAACTCTGCTTTCCATTTGACTATAAAACAGGTTTTAAAATTTAAAGGCTTGAGGGAGGAGAGAAACTGTTATATAGTGGCTTTAAAACCATGTATTGTCTTTAGTTATGGAGGTGATTGCCTGCCTGTCACTGCAGGTAACCTTTGATCATGATCCTTGGCCTGATGTATTTCCTGAGTGGACCTTCTCTAAAAACCCTTTACTTTTACGATCGGAGTTGTATTTTGTTTACCAACTTCTGTTTTTTTATTATGAACATGAAAATTACTTCATTTCCCAGAAGTTAAATAAGACGGAGGGCAATAGCTAAATTTTCTACTTTTTCTTCACATAGAATTTGCCTATTTAAATTTCTCTTGCTGCATTTCTGATCCCACAGATTTTGCTCATATATTTCCTTAAGAACATGGACAATTAAGCTGATGACATAAAACTCTTTGAAACACATGAACCAAAAGAGGGTGAAGGCAAAGAGAGGCATTAAAGAGTATGCATCTGGGACAGGCTGAATTATGGCCCCTCAAGAAGCAGAGGCAGAGTGATGTGACCACAAGCCAAGGAATGCTGGTAGCCACCATCACAGCAAGTGTACTTAGAAGAAGCAAGAAACAGACTCCACTGGAGTCTCTGGAGGGAATGTGGCCCTGTTGACACTTTGATTTTAGCTCAGTGATAGTGATTTTAGACTTTGCCTCTAGGCTGTGATAGAATAAGTCTCTGTTGTTTTAAGCCTCCAAGTTTGTGGTAGTTTGTTATAGCAGCCATAGAAACTAATACGGATTTTCATATCAGGAAGTGGGGTGCTACTGTAACAAATAACTAAAACTGTAGAAATGTCTTTGGAAATGGGTAATGGGTAGAAACTAGAAGAATTTTGAGGCACATGATAGAAAGAGCATAGACTACCTTGAATAGATGGTTGGTAGAAATACAGGCTTTAAAGGCACTGCTGGTGAGGGCTCAGAATAAAGTTAGGAGCATGGGAGAGAAAACTGTATCATCTTAGAGGATAATGTACCATCATAAACAGTATGTTGGTAGAAATAGGAATGTTGAAGGAGTCAGAGGGAAATGAACATATTATTAGAAAATGAAGGAAAGGAGATATTTGTTATATAGTGCCAGAAAGCCTAGCTGAATTGTGTCCTACATTTATATAGAAAGGAGAACATGTAAGCAGTGAAGTTGGATATTTAGCTGAGGAGATTTCCGAAGTATTGAAGTTGTGGCCTGGTTTCTTGTGGCTCACAGTAAATGTGAGAGGAATGGGTGAGATTGTGGGAAGAACTGTAAAGCAAAAAAGATCCAGGACTTGATGATTTGGGAGATTCTCAGTCTATCCAGGTTGCAGAAGACACTGAAGTTAGGAGATTCATTGTCAGGAAAGTGGTTTGGAGAGAAAGCCAAGAGCATGGCTAGATAACCTTTTGCTCTTTCTGAAGAGATTATACACATGACTCATGGATCTCCTCAGTAATCTCAGCAAAAACCAGGAATAGAGATTGAATAGAGATCAAGTCCTTTGTAGGACCATCTTATCTAATGGTGTGAACCCTCATGGCAGACACAGGTGACCTAGAACGGTTTTGAGAATGTTATATCAGCAGAAACACTGCCAGTTTGAACTGACAGGTTGAGGAAAGGCTAATGAAATTCCAAAATTCTGTAGGTAGGAAACAGGCTGATAGCACTGCTCAGCTGCAAACGTGTGCTTCCCTTCAAGAAAAAGGAATAATGGCCCAGAAGGTAGAGCCACAGGCCAGGGTATTCCTAGGTCTTGAAAACTAATGGAATTTGACCTTCTGGATTTTGAAATTGCTTGGTACCAGTGACTCCTTTCTTTCTACCATTTTCTCCCCTTTGGAATGGGAAACTCCATCATAACTTATCCTGTGCCTGTCCCACCACTGTATTTTAGAAGTGGTAAGTTGTTTTCTAGTTATACAGGTGGAAAGGAATTTTGCCCCATGATTTATCATACCCAGAGTCTGCTTGAATAACTTTTAGATAATGACATTTTGGACTTGAGTTGATGATGGAGTGGTTGAAACTTTTGGGGATGTTGGGATGGGGTGAGTGTAGTTGGCATGTCTGGGATGGACATGAATCTCTGAGGGACCTGAAGAAAATTATATGTTTTAGAGTTCTGTTTCTGGACATTCCTGTTTAAAGGCATTGAGACTTTTTTTTAAGGTTTTATTTAAATTCCAGTTAGTTAACATACAGTGCAATATTAGTTTTCCAGGGTATAATATAGTGATTCAGTAATGCCATACATTACCAAGTGTTCATCACAGCAAGTGTACTACTCCTTACCCCATCACCTATTTAACCCATCCCCCCACCTACCTCCCTTCAAGGCATTGAAACTCATCATCAAGAATTACTTCAGAGTTAATTTTTTTTAAGATTTTATTTATTTATTTATTTGAGAGAGAGCACAAGGAAGGGCAGAAGGAGAAGCAGACTCCCCGCTGAGCAGAGAGCCTGATGTGGGGCTCGATCCCAGGATCGAAATCATGACCTGAGCTGAAGGCAGATGCTTAACTGGGACTGAGCCACCCAGGCGCCCCCAGAGTTGATTTTTTTTAATGAAATGCTATTTTTGTCACTGAATCACATTTATAAAATTGGAAATTGCATTCTTAGAGTAAAATCTCTTGTCATTTGAATTTGAATATCCAGGAAGTTGTCAGATCAGATCTGTCATATTGAGAATACTGTGCTTCACATAACTAGGCAAAGATATTATGTATTACTGCATACTGGATATCATAACTTCCTCCTGTACAAGTAGCAATTCCTAAAGCATTAACAATTAAACCAACTTTTTCAAGTTTTTAAACTGACTTTAAACTTCTGACTTAAATCTTTTGCCAACCTCATGCCCCATCTTTTTTTGACTAAAACTTCTCATGACTTGGGACTGGTTGATTTGGTTTTTTTGTTGTTGTTAATTTTTTAAAATTTTGTTTTATTGTAAAGGACTTGCCCAAATTCACACAATGCTAGACAAATTAGCATATAATATAGGCTTATTAAAGTGGAGTTTTTTTTTCCTAATCATACGCTTCTTATTAGATTGTTAAATTCTCAAGCCCAGCTAGATACTCTTATTAAAAATACAGGTAGTAGTTTTCCTTGTGTTGTACAAAATTCACTGTTGTTTGAAGGTTTTGGTGTCTTTTTTTTTTTTTTTTTTTAAGTTTCAGCTGGTAGTGCTGAATTGATTTCTTCCAAAGGAACTATTGACTTAGTTATTGGTAAATCTTTCAACTACTATTTGCCATGAAAATAGCTATGTATTTGCATTGACTTCTAATTGCTTCATTCTTGAAAACCAGGTTTTTCCATTTAGAAGTACTGTGTTAGGAGTAAGGAATCAATCTTTTATGATGTCTTCTTGTAGGATTATTTGCTTCATGGTCGAAGATCATTTATTTAAATTATATGTTCAAAGACTTTTTTTCCCCTTACAAAAAAAGAATGGGTAGTGGATGTGGGGGGAATGGGCTTGCCTCTTCTATCTCAGTTTGCATTGACAATGTTCATTCCACAGTGCCTCTGTGTTCTTGATGCCAGGGAAAGAGTGGTAAGAAAACAAAATCATTCCTCTCATGGAGCTTATATTCTACCTAGGAGGAACAGACAATAAACAAATAGTAAGTAGTGTTACGAAGAAACATTTTGCTGGTTCCTGAATGAAGAGGAGCCAATGTAATTATTTGTTGACTGAGGATATATTTTGAAGGTAGAGCCAGTAGGATTTACTTTTGAATTAAATATAATGAGATAGAAAAGAGAAACAAGGAGTACCCTATTGCTTAACCTTAATAGTAGTACTATAAACTGAGATAGGGAAGATTGGAGAAGTAGGTCTAAATAGGAAAAAAAAAAAAATCAAGATTTTTGTTTTAGATGTGTTATGTTTGAGACTATTATATGTCATATTTGAGTTTTCACAGACATATAGTATTATTTTTGTGTATGAAAAGTACACTCTTTTGGGTGAGGTGGTCAGAAACCACAGCACATCAGCTTAGAAGTTAATTTGCTTATTAGAATTTGCCATTACATGAATCTTTCATCATCCATTTTTCTTTTCCAAGCTGAGTTCTCCAGTTGCATGTAAAAGTTTTTAGTCACAATTAAGATGCTTGTAAAACATCTCCACTAGCCATCATCTTTTTTTTTTTTTTAAGATTTTATTTATTTGACAGAGAGAGAGACGGCTAGAGAGGGAACACAAGCAGGGGGGAGTGGGAGAGGGAGAAGCAGGCTGCCCGCTGAGCAGGGAGCCCGATGCAGGGCTCGATCCCAGGACCCTAGGAACATGATCTGAGCCGAAGGCAGACGCTTAACGACTGAGCCACCCAGGCTGCCCCTCCACTAGCCATCATCTATCTATCTATCTATCTTTCTTTCTTTCTTTCTTTATCTATCTATCTATCTATCTGTCTGTCTAATTTGAAAGAGAGAGAGAGAGAGTACAAGCAGGGGGAGCAGCAGAGAGAGGGAGAAGCAGGCTCGATGTGGGGCTCGATCCCAGGACCCTGGGATCATGACCTGAGCCGAAGGCAGATGCTTAACCGTCTGAGCCACCCAGGAGCCCCACTAGCCATCATCTTTAAAGGCAACATAATTATTCTGAATTTTACTACAATAAGCTTGATTATTTAGAACACTGTTGGTTTGTTCCTCTTATGGTTGTCTCTGACCTTTGCTTTTATCAATACCTCCTGACCTCTCTTTTTTTTTATTAACATATAATGTATTATTTGTTTCAGGGATACAGGTCTGTGATTCAACAGTCTTACACAATTCACAGCACTCACCATAGCACATACCCTCCCCATCACCCAGCTACCCCATCTCTCCCACGCCCCACCACTCCAGCAACCCTCAGTTTGTTTCCTGAGAATTAAGAGTTTCTTGGGGCGCCTGGGTGGCTCAGTTGGTTGGGCAACTGCCTTC